CTCATTGCAACCCTATAGGACAGAGTAGAACTGTCCTACAGGGTTTCCAAGGAGCAGCTTGTGGATTCGAACTGCCAACCTTTCGGTCAGCAGCCTTAACGGTTAACCACTGCGCCACCAGGGCTCCCTATTTCAGTGATTCTAAAGGTGTTCTGGAAGCCCTGGTGGCGCAGTGGTTAAAGTGCCTGGCTGCTAATCAAAAGGCTGGCAGTTGGAACCCACCAGCAGCTCCCATGGGAGGAAGATTAGGCAGTCTGCTTCTGTAAAGATTTACAGGCTTGGAAACCCTGTGGGCAGTTCTACTCTGTCCTATAGGGTTGCTGTAAGTCGGAATTGACTTTAAGGCAGTGGGGTTTGTAAAGGTGTTCTGAGAGGTCCCTGGGTGACACAAATGGTTTGTGCTCGCCTACTAACCTAAAGGTTGGCGATTTGAACCTACACAGCAGCACCATGGAAGAAAGGCCTGGCGACCTGCTTTCATAAACATTACAGCCAAGAAAACCCTATGAAGCAGTTCTACTCTGATACACACGGGATTGCCATGAGTCTGAACCTACTCGAGGGGAACTGGTTAACCCTGAAGCAACCAGAATTGGTTCACTTGCAACTGTCTTAGGCAGTTGTGATTTAGAAATTAGGATGGAGTGCTTAATTTAAGGGCATGCTTTAAGAACTTGCAATGGTTGACTATGTTGGAAAGAAAATACAAGGAAAGCAGGGGAGTGGCCTATCTCTGGATGTCCAATAAGAAGATGACAGGCCCTTGTCCCCAAGTAGCAATGGTTCCTTAGTGCTGTCTTTTTTTTTTTTTTTTTAAGCAAAAAGAAAGATTTGGCATATATTCAAAAAGGCAAAAGTGGGAAGCAGATAAGCATGCTGCCAGAGCTATGTCTGCCCGAGTCCAAGGAAATATTACAGAACAGATGAAAGAGGGAATACGGACAACCATGCTGCCACAGCCATGTCTGCCTGAATCCAAGGAAATATTACAGAATAGGCAAGAATGGGAAAATGGAGAAGCATGTTGCTAGAGCCATGTCTGCCTGAGTCCAAGGAATATTACAGAATAAGCAAACTGGGAAAACAGACAAGCATGCTGCCATAGGCATGTCTGTCTGAGTCCAAGGAATATTACAGAATAAACAAAAGTGGGAAAATGGACAAGCATGCTGCTAGAGCCATGTCTGCCAGAGTCCGAGTAATGTTACAGAATGACCAGTATATGTTAACATTGCAAAATAGGCAAAACCATTGACAGCTTCACCTTTTCACAGACTGGCTAGAAACTGTGATCCCATATTTTGAATTGTCTTTCTTAACAATCATTGGTACAGGTTTCAGTAACCACAGTCAGGAGGGTCTTTATTGGTCCAACAAATTTTCTATTCACTAAATGCTAATAGAAAAAGATAAAAGTAGAAAGTCTTTTGTGTTCTGTTTGATTGGCTTATGTGAAAGGTTTCCTAAAAGATATTTTCCAAGATTATCCTAGCTATTGTCTTTATACCTCAGGGCCCAGTTGATGTGTCCTTGTGAGCCCTTGTGAGCCCAGCTCCAGCTGGGTCACACTCTCTATACTCAAGGACAGGGAATAATGATTCCAATACTATTTTCTAAATCATTTCCTCCTTTTGATCAGAGATAACACATCGATGATCAATACCTGGACTTAGTCAAGCTTCTAAATGGCAGCCATTGCAGGCTCTTTAAACTCATGGTGCTGGTTTTCCACTGGATACCATCTGGTTCTTCACCAGGATCTTAAGAGCGATGTTCATCAATCGTATGCACTGCTGAAGTGAGCCGACTTAATGTACATCAACATTTTAGCCCGAGGCCTTGTTTTGTCTTTTAAATGTGTAAGACAATAGAAGATAAATTTTATTATGTCTAATACTATCAGGATGTAGACTAAGCATATTACTATTCTTTGCAGTAGTGATCTAGCCCACGTACTTATTCCTGATGGTAACCAACCATTATAAATCGGGTGTTTATAAGGATGTTATAGTGTGTAACCAAGTAGCTTGTTGTCCAATTATGTAGGTGCTGTGTCTTAAAGATGCCAGAGACCACCACCAGCAGCAGAATCTGGAACTTGTTAGAAATGCAGATGCTTGGACTCCACCCCAGAGCTACTGACTCAGAAACTCTAAAGGGGGCCCAGCAATCTTTGTGTTTTACTAACCATCCAAGTGATTCTAATGAAGAATCTTTGGAACTTTCATTCACCTTATGATGACAAGGACCCATTATGGCTGTACTTGGTCTTAAGCCTGATTCAAAATGATAATAATAATGTTAATAATAGCGATAGCAACTACTAATCTGCTTTCTGTCTCTATGGATTTGCCTATCCTGAACATTTCATATAAATGGAATCATATAACATATGGTCTTTATGTCTGTTTTTTTTCCCACTTATCATGTTTTCAAGGTTCATCCATGTTATTTCATGTATCAGTACTTCTTTCCTTTTTATGGCCAAATAATATTCCAATACTTGACTATACATCATTTTGCTTATCCATTCATCTGTTGTTGGACATTTGCATCGTTCCCACCTCTTGGTTATTGTGAATAGTGATGCTTTGAACATTTGTGCACAAGTTTTTGTTTGAAAACCTATTTTCAATTGTTTAGGATAAAAAGTAATTAATCTGTGCTGACTCAAAGAAGTAGATAACCAACTGTCTTAAAATCATCACATTCAGCAAATATTTTTGAGAACCTACTATAGCAGCTTAGAATGCTAAGCACTGGGAATACAAGCTGCAATGTATCAGGCATCATCCCTTCCCTCATTCAGAATGACATAAAATTGAATAAGTGAGTAAAACATAGACCTGGCAGCAGTTGGGATAAGCGTTCCTTTTCTGCTTGCTCTGAGAGGAAGTAAAAGCTGGTAAGCACCTGAGCAAGGTCCTCTAACAGAATACTTTTAGATGCAAGTAACAAACACAACTAAGAATAGCTTAAGCAATAATGGCACTTATCATCTTACCTAAGAAGTCCAAGGTAGGAAGGTTCCCAGGGAGTCCCTGGTGGTGCAAATGGTTAAGATGCTTAGCTGCAAACCAAAAGGTTGGAGGTTCCAGTCCACCCAGAGATGCCTTGGTAGAAAGGCCTGGTGATCTACTTCCAAAAAATCAGCCACTGAAAACCTTATGGAGCACAGTTATCCCTAACACATGAGTCAGAGTTGACTCAGTGACAACTGGTCTTAGGGAGGTTCCCTGTTGGTTAAGTCAGCAGCTCAACAACATCAAAGATGTAGGTTTTCTCTGTCGTTCTGCTCTGCCATCCTCAGGGTATTGGCCATTTCCCTCACAGTCCAATAAGGGACAGCAACTCTAGCCATCATGTTCTCACATAACAAGGACCAAAGAACAGAAGTGGGGAAGACAGCAGATTCCTTCATCTAGTCTCTTTTTAGGAGCAAGAAAAGCTCTCCCAGAAATCCCCTTGACATACTACCTCTCAAGACTGTTCTACCAGATTTCACATAACAAGCCTGGCAAGGGAATGGAATTACAATGTGTGATTTAAGATGAATCATGTTTGAGGCTGGAAAGGGGCCCAACTTCCCCTAATGCCTGAACAAAATATCAGTTCTGGAAGAATGTAAGTGGAAGAGGAATGACTGCAGGGTAGGCAGCCAAGAGTTTCTCCACAGGTGCCCTGGCAAGATTTCCTGGAGGAAGTCCAGTCAAATGTTCTCCTCTGAGCACCAGGCCTCAACTGAATTATCTCAAAAACTCAAACCTCAACGTGTTCAAGACTGAATTCATGATTCTCATCAAAGTGGTCTCCTCCAGTGCTCTCTTTCTTTACAAATAGCACCACCATTCCACCTGCCCAAGTCAGAAAAATAAGAGTTACTGTACCCTCCTCCTTCTTCATCCCCCGTATCTAGGACATTACCAAGTCCTGCTGATTTACCTCGAAAAGAACTCTTGAATCTATTCACTCTCTTCACCTCCACTGCCACCATCCTAGTCCTAGTCACCATCGTCAGCTTTCCTGGACTTCTATAATAATATCCTGCTTGGTCTCCCGCACCTATTCTGACCTCCCCCCAATCTATTCGTTCGCAATGCAGTATAAGTGGCTTTTACAAATAAAAGTCTGACCATGCTTAAAACTTGCTTCCCACTGCTGCTAGAATAAAGACCAAAATAAGGCCCTGGTTAACCCCTCTCCCACTCTATATTCCAATTACACAGGCTTTCTGTGAGCTTGAACGTGGTGTGCTCCATTTGACCCCAAGACTTACACTCCTGGCCATCTTTCAGACCTCAGCTTAACCGTCACTTCCTAGAGAAAGCCTCCCCCACAAAACCCAAAACCAAACCCACCGCTGCCTTGTCAGCTGCGACTCACAGTGACCCTAGAGGACTGAGTAGAACTGCCCTATAAGGTTTCCAAGGAGTGGCTGGTGGATTTGAACAGCTGACCTTTTGGTTAGCAGCCAAATTCTTTAACCACTGCCCCTAGAAAACTCCGAGACTTCCCTTCCGAACATTTTTTCTGTTTGTAGACTGTAAATTCCTTGAAGACGCGGATCTAGGATCTCTTACAACATAATGCCTGGCACATAGTAAGTGCTCAATAAATAGTTGTTGAATGGCTAGATAAATACATAAACTTCGAAGAAGACTGACTGATAACGAATGTGGACCCAGTTTCAGAGAGAACAGATATTAAGGCCGTAAACAAACCGCATCTCCAGGCGGCCCGGAACCACACGTCTCCGCTTCTCCTCCCAGGAGCCCGGTGCCTGGGCCCAGCCTTTCCTAGATGAGGCGGGGGCGGAGGGGCACAGAGGTCGCATTACGCGACAGCAGTTTGTCAGTGATTGGGCTTCCAAGCGCGCCGGCTAGGGAAGGGGGCGTGTCTGCGCGCGCTGATTGGTCCTCCGGTGGCGGCTGGGAGGGCTGCGGTGGCGGCGGCGGCGGCGCGGGGGTGGGCTGCGCGTGGGGAGGGTACCCGGCAGGGCAGGGAGGGCGGCTGCGGCGGTGCGATGGGTCATCGCCGCCGGTTTTGCTGAGACTCTCTCGCGTCGGCTGCCCGCTGGGGGCCCGCAGTGGCCGTGGCGGCATGAAGGGCGCCCTGGGGAGCCCCGTGGCTGCAGCCGGCGCCGCGATGCAGGAGAGTTTCGGCTGCGTCGTGGCCAACCGCTTCCACCAGCTGCTGGACGACGAGTCGGACCCGTTCGACATTCTGCGCGAGGCCGAGCGCCGGCGCCAGCAGCAGCTGCAGCGCAAGAGGCGCGACGAGGCGGCGGTCGGGGTCGGCAACCGTGGCGGCAGGAGCCCTGCTGGGGCCTCGGGCCACAGAACCGGCGCGGGCAGCGGCCGGAGGGAGTCCCAGAAAGAGCGCAAGAGCCTCTCGGCCCCTGGCGCGCAGCAGCCGGACAGTCTCGGGGGCAGCCAGCAGCCGCCCGGTACGCGCATCCCGCCGACACCTGGGCGCCCCCGGGTAGGCGCAGCGGGCGGGAGAGGAAGGAGAATGGGGTCACGGAGGTCACCCTCTTCAGCCTCCTTCGACCCCCACTATGAGACTTGGGTCCCAGGAACCATGTTCCAGAAAGGAGAGGGGGCTCTGGGGAGAGTTGGGGTGAGTTAAGTGTCCTTGTGGCCGTGGAAAGTAGGAAAGAGGACCAAAGTGTGGAGCTGGGGGTTCCCACGTCTTGTAGCCTTTCCCAGACCCTTCTATGGGGGAGGGGTGGAGGTAGGGGGTCTTGAAACCCTGGAACTGAGCCCTTAGATCAAGTTGGACAAACTTGACGAATATTGCTGGCGTGGTGTGTGGGGACTGCTACCCCGGGGGTCTCAAATCAAGAGCCAGCAAGGAGCCCAGCCTCCGCAAGATTGGACTCTGGAGGCAAAAAGAGAAGCGTAACGAGAAGGAGGGAGGGGGAGAGAGCACCCTGCCCGCTGGAGGTGGTGGTGAGAGACTGGGATGTGTGGAGAATGGTAGGCAGGCCGAGATGAGGAGCTGCCAGGCCTCTGTGATGGAGGGAAGGCCTGGTGACCGCGTGGGGCCGGGCTGTGACGTCAGGGCCCGACCGGCGTGCTGGTGAGGTGGCCGCGGGATACCCGGCTACTCCCAAGCTGTTTTTCTTTAAGCCATCCCCATATACAAGCTTTTAGTAGTCAGCAGGCATGGGTTTTCAGTACATCCCGTAGTGTTGTTGATGGGATGTGTAACTTGTAATTAACTCAAGGCTAGTTTAGGAAAATTCTTCGTAACCTTTTCAGCAGTGTTCAAGGTTCCCTACTCCCTGTTCAGCAAGAAGGGCCATTGCAAAGCTTGGTGCACTACTGTGTGCGTGCATAAAGTGTACTTCAGAGGTCATTTCTCTCTCTACAACTGACATCAGTGGCTCAATCAGCTAGACTCCACCTGTGTTTCCTCTGTTTTCCTGAAATAAGGCAGTGGTCCGTCCCAAGGTTTAGAGAAAAATGCTGTTAAGATTGAGATGTGTAGTTTGACCTCTCCAGCCATCACATGGCAGTGTATTCACCTGTTTATTGGCTTGTTCCTTGCTTGATAAGAGTTGTGCATCCTAGTTAGCACTGAAAGAGCACCTGCTGATTTAAATATTGGGGCTTTGACTTTTGGAACTTGAGTTACCTTTATCTGTGGAAAATCCAGTCCGTAGACATCATTTGAGAATCAGAAAATCAAGTCAATACAATAAAGGTGTTGAAAATTACCCAAAATGCTCTTGGGTCACAAGACCTCTTGTTAGGCCAGGAAGTTCATGGGCTTATTTAAACAACAACGCTTGAGATATATTTTACATTTCGTATTATGTTCTGTGTTTTTCTTTTACGTTTACTTAAGGATAAATATAGTAATAAAAACTTAGAAGGCTAATCTTTTCTGCTCCCTATTTCTAACAATAGTGTGAAACTGCATTTAGTGATACCTACTAATATATTTCTTCTTAGGCCTCTTAAAATATAAAAAAATGTAAACAGTTCAGAAATGTATAAAGTGAAAATCCCTTATCTTCTCTCCCGTTGACAGCTTATATCTATAGTTGCACAGCACTTTTTTTCTTATACAAACAGTTGCAAATGGCTACCTTTGATATTGTAATCTTTTACAATCTGTAGCTGATTTTGTAGTTAGAATGACAATTTTGTTATTCTAGTTCTTTTTCAGTGTGTATTATTTCAGGAGCAAACAGCTAATTAATTCCTATATATGTAGTTACTGTACTCAATTTATCTGTAATGGTGTTAGAGAGCTACATTCTCAAAGCTTTGTAACCCTAATTGATATGAAGGACTATATTTTTCTAACTCAGTTTTTAATTTAGTTAGAATATTATAAGTGAATGCTTAGTGTGGACAAGAATCAAAGTTTAAATGTGTTCAGCAATGTTTAGAACATTTATTAATCCCCAAAGGATGTGGAAAGCGTAAGATTTTCCAGTGGAAACCTAAGTTTTTAATATCCTTGACTATCCATCTAGCAGTACACACAGGCCCTGTGTGAACCTTGCTAAATAGATTTATTCTTCAGGTCACCAGAGGCTGTGTCAGCTCTGCTTTCCTAGCCTTTCAGAACTATGGTCTTTGAGCCAAAGCTCAATTTTTATTTTGTAGGAACCTCACTGTAAATTTCATTGTATTCTGTCCCTTCACATGGGCTTGGGCTTAGATCTGAGATGGAACTGGTTGTGCCAGCTGCCTTTTGGGAAGGGCCAGTGATGTGCAATGTTTGCGGTATCCAGTTGGAGCCGCTGATCCAGCAAAAGACACCAAGCCAGCTTCAGCTGCAGTCTTGAGCTCTTAATACTAAATTATGAGGGGGAAGAAAAAAAAGTGGAGCCCTTTTTTCCTTTGTTTTTTTTGTATTTTGGAGGGAGAATGAAATGTTTTCAGGGAATTGGCAATATAATTATCCTAGTAAGTAGCTATTCTTATTTAACAGTTTTCAATTAATACCTGAATTTTGGAACAGGCTTTGGTATAAAAAGTGCGTATTTTAAGTCATGAAGAGTGAATGCCAAATTGATGCAATTAAAAAATAACTTAGAGGAAGCAGAAGGAAGATAGGGTAAGTGCCTAAGTAATGCTGTAGTTGAGTGGAGAGGTTAGGATTGTTTTAAAACTATAGGCTGTAAAGAAAATTTGAAAGTGTATTGGAATAACCTTTTTTATTTTAGGGGAAAGTATTGAAAATTATTGTTACAGTTAACATATTTGCTGATGATTGTTATTTAGTGTAATTTTCAACTTGTTAGATAATTTCTTTCCTAATGACATAGCTTTCATAATGGCATTGTCTACCTTATGTTTCAGATTACCTCTTGAGATTTTGATCTTTGTTAGTAAAGTATGTGCCAACAGATCTGGCATTGCATACTCTCTTGGGCAAGAGTTTCAATCTCTGTCTTGATGCTTCTGCAATAAAAGCATAATGCTCCATTTATGATAACATCTTTCCCACAAGCTAAATATGTCACAAGCTCAAATTGTGACCTCTCTATAGAATGCAAATCAGATTTAAACATTGCTAGGTATAGGAAACACTAAGACCATAGGAAATTGAACTCAGATCTGTTATACAACTTATTTCAAGATACTAATTAATATTTTGTTAATATTCACATCTGAAAAAGTATGTTAACTGCTGAGTCACAGATCACATAATTTTAGTGGTGTCACATACATGATTTCTGCTTAAAAATGAGTCCAGTAAGGTTATTGGGACTATGTTAATGTTTACCTGGGCTCGGTTTATAAAGTTTCACTAGAAAATATTAAGTGAGGGAATAGAAAAAGATGTATAAACATATATTCCTTAAGGGCCACGTGTGTATCTGTCTCAGTGGAAGAGGAATCCAGTTGTTTAAAAATACACCCATTGATTTGGATACATTTAGTATTTTTATAGCCGTGCAACCAACAGGAAGAATAATTTTTACCCCTCCCAAAAAACAAAAACCTGAAGCCACTAGAATCAAAATGGCACGTAACGTTTGAGATGGAGAAAATCAAAATGGCACATAATGTTTGAGATGGAGAACTTGTAAACTATGCCCAGAAAAAGATAAAAGGACAATTTTGGAAGATGATGTAAGAAGAAACAAAGTTCTCAGTATATTTACCAAGTATTGGATGGCTTCAAACATTAGACTTTGCTTAAAAGTTTTAAAGGATGACAGCTAGAGGGGAGTAAAGTAAGGTGAGAGGAGAGATAGGAAAAGGCTAGTGTTCCCATACCCTGCCCTGTCCCGGCTCAGGGCTGGCCCCTCACTGCCCTCTTCAAGGACTTAACTGGCTCTTGTGTGAGCTGGCATGTATCAGTTTTGGCTGATTTGAGAATATGACTGCAAATGTATAAATCTCATTAAAGAGCAGGAAAATCTGTTTTTAAAAGAAAAAAAAGTGACAAAAACTGGGTTTAAAAAAAAAAAAAAAAACCTTAGAAGCTGACTACAGTTGCCTCTGGTTTATATGCGATTGGAGTCCTAAAACTAGAAGGCAGTCCCTGGATTACTAACGAGTTCCGTTCCTAAATCTGTCTTTAAGTTGGATTTGTACATAAGTTGGAACAGATAGGTACAGTTTGTATCTAGCATCAGTTAAATGTTTGTCTTAGTATATAGTATATAGTGTAGCTTTCTACGCATAAAAACATTAAACACTTCCAGATGCACCAAAAATGTCTTTAACATAATAATACAGTAACAATAATGTTTTGATGGGAGTCACAAAGTAGCACCCGTTTGTTATTACAAACCATTGTACATACCTCGAATTTTTAACAGGCTTTACAGGGGTCTGTTCTTAACTGTGGGTTGTATAGAAATCAGACATTCATAACCCAGGGACTGCCTGTACAATCTGAAATACATAATATTGATCCTTTAATTTTCTAGATGTGGTTTAGCTACCAGATTTTGGTAAAGCTCTTTTGCAAAATGTAGTAATTTAGCAAAATATACCCATAGCTGTCACAGAATCATTGTGAGATGCCTGCAATTATAGGTTAGCTTATATAGTTTATCTTATCATACTTTGTAGGATATAAAGGAAAGCATGTGATTCAGTGGTAACTATTAAAAGTTTTATTAAGTAGTAGTTGACTCTCTAGTCAGATTATTGACAACTTTCTTTTTTCTTCTCTGTACTTTTCCAAGTTACGTGGGTTTTTCTATGGCATTGTTTTCTGGAAAAGTGAAATTTAAAGCTACCTGTAAAGGTTAACAATATGCTGTCCTGCAGGCCTGTGTTCTAGCTCTCTCCTTTGATTTCCTGCTGGCAGGCCAGAAGCGAACTCCTAGAAGAGGGGAGCAGCAAGGATGGAATGATAGCCGGGGGACAGAGGTGGCGCTGGATAGACCAGAGCGGAGACCCTACAGGGAATACCGACCCTATGAGCCTGAGAGACAGGCAGAGTTTACAGCTGAGAAGTTTACAGATGAAAAGTATGTACTGCAGACCTCATGGGGAGGCTCTCGGGGGGCACCAGAGGCCTTTAGAGAACCGCTAGCCTTTGCGACCTGCTCTTCATGCTAGTCTTAGGAATATTCTGCCAATTTAAGTGTCAAATCATATTTTCTTAGATGACATGAAAAAGACCTTCCAGTTATCTCATAGATGACCTTAGGTCTTCGTTCAAAAAAAGATTTTACGATGAAAAGTAAATTGTGCATTGGTTACTATGAAAAGCACTCTTATAAAAAAATTATACAGGAGTGTGTCAGACTTTCATTTGAAGTTCTAACTTGGGGCTAGGGATATAATTATGGTTTTGACTTAGCATTACTAATTTAGACTAGAAATAGATTTAAACTGAAATCCCTCCTTGCCCCATGGTCAGGTCAATAGGCTGTCATGATGAAATGTGAAGAAAAACTAGTATAATGTGTAACACCATTTTTTGGCTCATGTACCCCTATAGAAGGTACTCTGACATGGAAGGGAGTCTTGGGCTAGTACAGTCTTACACCCCTCCTGAGTGATGTAGCAATGTGCAGGCTGACTGTACCCACCTGTACATAGGGAACAGTTACTTGTCTTATGCTTGGCACTAATAAGATGGGGGCTTGCCACCTGTAAGTTTCTGTTGAATTATTAAACATACATAACCCAGACTTTAGATGAAACAGAAGCCAGTGAATCACAGTTAAAGGTAAATAAAGTAAAAAGGAAAGGAGCCCTGGTAGCACAGTGGTTAAACACTCGGCTGCTAACTCAAAGGTTGGCAGTTCAAACCCACCAGTTGCTTCATGGGAGAAAGATGTGGCAGTCTGCTTCTGGAAAGATTTACAGCCTTGGAAACCCTGTGGGGGCAGTTCTACTCTGTCTTATAGGATTCCTATGAGTCAGAATCGACTTGACGGCAACAGGAATGGGTTAAAGTAAAAAAGTTTAAGGAAGGCCAGAATAGTGTATGGTTTCATGTGAAGTGAGCCGTTTTTCACCAAGGCTTCCAACCCCGACCGTTTAAGATCCTTGCTACAAGTTTTAACCAAGAACATAGCTTTGTAAAACTATTCTCCATTAAAGAAAATAAAAGCCCAGCAGAGAACAGCTCTGTCTGAGAGGGCCAAGCAGGTGGCAACTTCTGCAGGTCTCTTCACCTATAAGTTACATATTCAAAACATCGAGATGTGGTATCCACCATCATGTTGGAAGGAGAGACTTATGGAAAAGTTTAACTCTGCTTTTTTGGTGACTACTTGAAATTTGCTGCATAATGGTCATAGTCTACTTGCTCACTAAAAGCTTCCTGGATCAGAGATAATTTTGAGAAGCATTTGGGGTTTTTTTTTTTTTTTTTTTCTCACTTCAGGGATATATTCTGTAGAAATAAGGAAATAATAGTTCAAATGCACAAACCTAGTCATTTTTCTTTAGTAGCAAAACAATGTAGTCTTTAAAAAGGAAAGACAAATCTTTATATGTTGATGTGGAAATATGCCTATAATATGTAGGGATAGGGTGGGATATGGGATTATAGAGGGATTTTTTTTCCTTTTAAAATAATTTCAGATATACAGAAAAGTTGCAAGGATTATATAAAGAATTCCCATATGCCCTTCACTCAGATTCTTCACATGTTAACATTTTATTACATTCATTTTATTCTTATTTTCTCTCTCTCTCTATGTATATATATGTGTATGTATATTACATATATATAAAACATACACACGCAAACTTTTTCTGCATCATTTGAGAGTAAGGTGCAGAAGTGTCCCTTTATTCCTAAATACTTAAGTGTATTTAATTAAAAAACAATATATTCTTTCATAGTACAATTATCAAAATCATTAACATTACTACTATTGTATAATTCTCTAAATTATACCATCTATAGACTTCATTCACATTTAGCCACTTGTTCCCATAATATACTTTTAGCAAAAGAAAAACGGTCTTCTAGTTCAGGATCCAGTCTAAGAACACGCATTGTCTTTAGTCTCCCTTAATCTTGGAAAGCTCCTTGTCTTCCTTTATCTTTTATGACTTTGACATTTGAGGAGTGTAGCCAGTTATTTAGTAGACCATCTCTGAATTTGAGTTTGTTGTGATGTTTCTTCGTGATAGGAGCGAGGTGGTGCATTTTGGGCAGGAGCACCACCAAAGTGATGTTGTCCTCAGGGCATCACATTGGGAATAGGTAGGAACCTTTGACTTTGAAATTTGATTTGTTTTTTTTAATACGTCATGTACTATCAGAAGGGAGCCCTGGTGGCGCAGTGGTTAAGGAGCTTGGCTGTTAACAAAAAAGTCGACAGTTGGAATCCACCAGCCGCTCCTTGGAAACCCTACGGGGCAGTTCTACTCTGTCCTATAGAGTCTCTATAAGTGGGAATCGACTTGATGGCAATGGGTTTGGTCTGGTTTTGGTACTATTAGAAAAAATATTTTTCGTAAAAATTACTCTTCTGATTATAAATTTTTCTTATCTTTAATAAAAACATATTTTAGACAATGAGGAAAATGCAGAAAATTATCAATCTAATCTTACCATCTGAGGTGATTACTCTTAACACTTTGGCCTATTTTCTCTTTTTATGCATAGATGTACTTAGACATTACAGGCATAACACATATATGCTGAGTGCTTTATGTTCTTTCTTTTCTACTTGAAATGTCATAAGCAGTTTCTACGTTAGTAACAATGTTCGGTAAGTATTTTTAATGGCTCTATCATGATCTGTTGCTTGACTGTATCATAATGTAGTCATTCCCTTAGTGTTGGAACTTTGCTCAGCTTGCAGTTTTTTTGTTTATGAAGAGTACTTAGTGAGCAACGTTTTATGTATGTGTGTAGTTTGCTAGATGGAGGTAAAAATCCAGTTAGAGCCGTAGAGTAGTGGTTCTCAGCTGGGTGGTCATGTGTCCAAATCTGGGGCCTGGCATGTGCCTCAGTGCAAGGTGGGATGGGAGCTTGTAGTGTAAAAATGAACAGCATTGGTGGTGAAGCGCGATATTGGTACTTAGTGACAAATCACTCTCTTAGTGCCCATTTGCTCTATCACTAACAGTCTATGAGTGCATTTCTCCCAGCTCTTTCTCCAGACTTGAGTATATAATAATGTTTGATCTTTGCTCATTTGGTAAGTGAAAAATGGTATCATCTGACCCTTCTTTGATACCTATACATGCTTATTGGATGTAATTATAGGATCTTGATAATCTTGAAAGATTATCTAATTTAATCCCCTCGATTTATGAATGAGGAAACAAAGACCCAGAGTTTCAGCAGTGACTCTGGTCACAGCCAGTTGACATAAATTATTATTCCACTAAGGCAGAACACATTTTTTACTCTCCTCATTTACTCATTCATTCACCAAATATCAATGAGCATGTAGCTGTGCTCGATCTAGACTGTGCTAACCACAGGAGTGGGAGGAGGGACTAAGGCATTTCTCCCACAGCCTAGTTGGAGATAAGCACATGACAGACAACTACAGTCTATCTGGAAGCGTATGTTGGGAGATGCGTACAGCAGTGGAGTGAGACAGGCCTGGCGGAGGAAGGACACCTGTCTAGTCACCACTTTTTCCCTGTCATAGAATCTGAAATAGGAATGTGCATGTTCTGTAATGTAGATGATACAAACTTTAATACCGTTTATTACTAGATAGTAGTCCCTGGATAGCACAAACAGTTAAACGCTTGGCTAATAAACCAAAAAGTTGGAGGTTTGAGTCCACCCAGAGGCTCCTTGGTAGAAAGGCCTGGTGATCTATTTCTGAAAAACCAGCCATTGAAAACCCTATGGAGCGCAGTTGTACCCTGACACACACACGGTCACCATGAGTCGGAGTTGACAGCAACTTTTTTTTTTTAAAAACTAGCTGTGTTCAGAGTGTCTCTATCAACCAGACAACTTAAATTGTGGTTAATTTTAAAGTGCTGTTATTTTTAACCCTTATGCTGGTGCTAATTTGGTAGAGGAAGGAATCAGTGTGGTCCCATTCCTGACAGTTTAAAACAGATGGAATCTGATCATTAGTTAATTTCATCAAGATCTAATTGAACACCTATTTTGTGTCGGGCACTAGAGATGCAAAAAGTGAAGGAGAGCTTTGTCTAGTTCCCTAAGGAATACGCAGCTGGAGGGGAGACAAAGAGGCTAACATTCTGGCCACCATCTGATCCACTGTCTGCAAACCAGGGAGGTATGTGAGCTTCTGAGAGGGACTGGCCAACTAAAAATGTGAGCCAGCCTTAGAGAGGAGGCAGCATTTAGGCAAGAGGGGTAGGTTATCTGGGCTGAAGGGATTCCTTGAGCTTTTTTTTTTAAATTAACTTTTTCTATTATAGAGATTCCAAGCAGACTGAGTGTAACTACTTGAGCTAGCAGTGAGAGGCAAACAGCCGGTTATAGCCCTTAAACCCATTTCAATTCACTGTGACTGAATGGGCTTCTGCCGCTGCTCTGTCATACAGCTGCATCTCATATGTACAGCTACATCGCAGTCTCAGTGGGAGGGTCCACAGCCTCCAGGGTTTCTCCCTCCTCTATAATCTTGTGAGGCCCTTCCACCTCTGAGATGTCCAACTCTACGAGGCCTGTTCCTACCACTGTAACCCAGGATAGGAAGGCGCTTGGGGGCAGTGTGTTCCTGGGAGCCTGCTGGAGTTCAGAGTGGGTTTTCACATAGAAGCAGCGCCATAGATGGTGCTGGGATTAGCTTGCAGTGTGTCGGGCCCAGAGATCAGCTACACTATGTGTTTCATATAATCTGAGAATACAGTTGCTGTTTTATTGCAGTACCAATTTTCTTTAGAGCTCCAGATAAAGAACTTAAGTGAACTTTTAGAATACTTAAAGTCTGCCTTCGATGGGATACATTTTGGCCTTTCCTTTCTGCAGTTTACTGCTAATCAATTAAGGTCAATTCCAATTCTGGAAGAATCACTCACTAAAGTGTTTAAACATTTATAGCCGTTTTAACAAAATTAAATAGGTTTTTCCATTCAGTTCACATGTGAAAAATTAAGAACATAAAGATGATTAATCTAAAGATTTTGAATAAGCATTTGTCCATGCTTTTGGTAAAATAAATGAGAATGCAATGCCTATATGTCTTCATGACTAGACTGTAAGCCTGCTGAGAGCTGCTGTATCCCTAGTATCTTGCAGGACACCAAGCAAATAGTGGGTCACTGTAAGTATTTATTAAATTAAATTAAAGCAAGACACAAAATACGCGATTTGATTATACTTATATACAAGTGGGATTCTGTGGCTAGTGCAAATGGTTTACACACACGGCTGGTAACTGAATGGTTGTCACCTCAAAAGAAAGGCCTGACAATCTACTTCTGAAAAATCAGCCATGAAAACCCTAGGGAGCACAGTTTTACTCTTGACACACATGGGGGTGCCATGAGTTGGAATTGACTCAATGACAACTGGTTGGTTATGTACAAATGCTTTACTCAGGAAGTCCAGGAAGCAAATATACCTGTCGACAGTTATGACTGGGTAATTGGACTCTGAATAATTTAAACTATTCCCTTCTTCAAGAGCAGGGGCTTTGGAAGTTGCATCCTGGTTCCACTACTAAATGACTTGTGCGAGTTATGTAACCTCTCTGAGCTCAGTTTCTTTATTCATAAAACAGGTAATTATATGTCTTTATTAGGATTGTTGTAAGAGAATAGATTACAAGTACATAGAGCAGGATGTTTGGCTCAAGTACTGTTTTTCTTCCTTTTAGTTGTGAGTTCATCACAGATAAAGCTTCCTAAATAGAGTACAGAATTCCTCAGTCCTCCCCAGCCTTAACAAAAAGAAGATATATTTTATAATAAGGGTGTTACAGAGAAGCAATCAAGAATGTATTTAATTGGGTAGAAAGAGGAAACCTGTGGAGTAAAGAAAAAAATGGATAAAAGATTAAAATGCACCAGAACACACAGGGATGGTAATAGTTGATTTCAATCACTATTGTACTTTTTAGTGAATTTGGTATTTGGTCAGTATTTGATCTGGACTTCATGTGAATTTAGGCTCTGTTTTAACTGCTGGCATTATTTTTCATGTATGTTTTTGCCCTTCATTTCCTCTAACTTCTTAGGTGGACTTTTTTCCTTTCATGGCCCTGTCCAAGTTCCTGGTTAAGAATTCAGTTACTTTTCATTTGTCATTTTAGGACTCTGCTTTAGATATTTAGTGTAATTTAGAGAAGTCTCTATTTAAAAACTCATAAAAATCTTATAAAAATTCTTATAAAAATCTCTATTTAAAAACTTAGTTTTGATGCAGGGAGGTGAGGAACAAAATAGGCAACTGAGTATTTAGGATTGTTTCTTTCAAGGGACTGGCATGAAGTTAATGACCAATACTTCTGTATTTCTTCATATTTTTAAAGACTTAGAATTGTGTTACCCCTTTTTACCCACTATCATATTGTGTAGTAGATTTTAATGTAATATTTTTGGCCATAAAAGTGGAATGAGATATACCTCTAGTTCTGGGTTTTGAGCCATTAATGCCACTAGATTTCTTGGTGCCAGGATCTCTATTAAATAAGTAATTTGTTATTGCTTTAAGTCTTTAGAAGACCTGACAAATTAAAAGAAATATCATTTATCTTATTAAACTAGGGTTATAATGATGAAAAAGACGGGGTCCTTCCCACAGGAGCTTAGCATCTGGTAGGGGCAAGGGATGAGTCCACACAAAGAGGTTTGGTGACAGAAGCAAGGCAGAGGGTATACAGAGAGGTGAACCGGACACGTGCCCTGATCCGGTGGTTAGATTGGTAGGGGAAGAAGAGAGAGGAGAGGGGTGAGGCTCAAGGTCTTGGCTTGGGTGCTCTGTTGTACTGTGTGCTATTCTCTGAATAGGGACCATTGGAGGAGGAAGGGGGTCAGTGAGGGTCATGTTGTACCTGTAGGGCCATGGGTGTCCAGGTGGAGATATCCAGGCAATCACTGGCTTATAGCCTGGAATCAGAGAGACCCAAGTAACAGGCTTAGGAACAAGTGTCATTAGCACAGAAATGAGGAGGATGTGTGCAATGGAACGAGAAACTGGGAGTGCTGACACGTTTACGGACAAACAGGTATCAGAAAGAGTGAAGGAGGCAGCTCTATGTCTAGAGTACCAACATACATTGTTGTATGAAAAAGACAAGGTGCATTTGGAAAAGGATAGCGATCGGTGGCACAACATGAAAAATGTAATTAGTGTCATTGAATTGTAAATGTGGAAGATGTATTGGTGAATATTTTGGTGTGTATATTTTCACCACAATGCAAAGAAAAAAAAGGCAAGGGACATAATTTTTCCCTTTAGAGAGTCTGTAAGTGACTACCTCTGAGAAGGGGAATTGGGTAGCTTAATTTTGTACGATGTGTGGGTATTATCTATTTCAAGAAAACTTTTTTAAGGACAAGCGGTGAAAGAGAAACCAGAAAGGTCAGAGAAGAATTAGTGGTCAGCAGTGTCAAATGATCCAGAGGGGTCAAATGACATAAAGGAGGTGCTATTTTAACACAAAGAGGTCTTCATCTGTCCCTGAAAGTTTCTGTGGAGTAATGGGGGTAGAAGTCAGACCCAACAGATTGTTTTCAGTCCCAAATGTCATCACTGTGTGTGTGTGGGTGTGGGTGTGTGTGAGAAAGAGAGATTTGGGAGGGAGGATAATTTGAAGTTTAACCATTTTTCTTAATACATAAAACATTCCAAATTTAACTTAAAGGTTGTAATATTGGAACTGGAATGTACCTTAGAATTTCTTTTTCTAAACTCCTCACTTTATAAATAAGGGAACGAGAGATGGAGGAAAGGGATGCCCCACTGGGATTAGTAACAAGCCCCAGACAGAGCCTGCTTCTCCTGTGCCATCTCCATCTCCACTTCCTAGCAGCCATGTGAACTTGGGCAAGTTTCCTCATCTGTAAAATGGGAGTGATAGCTATCTATTATACAACTATTGTAATTTTTTGATGTATGTAAAGTGATTATTGACAATTATTGATGTGTGTAAAGTGCTCAGAATAATGCCAAGTACAGTATGTGCTCAGTAAAGATGAGCTGTTAATTTCTTATTCAAGCTACCAATATGCTGTTGCCATAATGTCCTGCTAGAATTTCTTTCTCAAGCCTTAGACCTTTACTCCAATTCACTGCTTTTTATTCTGCCTCTCTCTCCTTAGACCAATTGACAGGCTTGATCGAGACCGGCTCCTGAGAGGAAGAGGTGGTGGAAGAGGGGGGATGCGAAGCAGAGGGAGAGGTGGTCCCATGAACAGAGCTTTAGATGGTTTTGACCAGAGAGGGAAACGTGAATTTGACAGATACGGTGGGAATGATAAAATGTAAGTTTCTTTGTAATGCCGTTTTCACTTGAAGATTTTAGTAATACATCGTATGAACCTGTAACATGCTTTTAAGTATACTTGACTTTATATTAGTATGCTGTTATTGTTGTGGGAGTCTGACCCTGGGACAACTTTTTTGATAAACTTTTTCTGATTTGGAAGCTGGTGGGGGACCCGTTTCCAGTTTAAAGGATACTCTTTCTTTCTCTAGAGCATTCAGAACTCAAGACAACATGAGTGGCTCTGGAGTTCGCAGCTGGGCATCCGGTAAAGATACCAGGTATGGTGCAAAGATGTGCCCTCTGTGAGCCTACAACCAAGTGGAATGCTCTGGATCTTTTTTGCTTGTCTTTGAATTGATGACCTCGGTGTTGTGCTTAAGGAGATGGCTTTGTTTAGTGAGGTAACTTTTTATTTTTATTTTTTTATTTTTTCTCATACAAAAATTTATACACACATTGTTATGTGACTCTAATTGCTCTCCCCATATTGTGACAGCACACTGCTCCTTTCCACCACTGATTCCCTGTGTCCATTCAACCAGCTCCTAAGCCTCTCTGCCTTCCCATCTCACCTCCAGACAGAAACTGCCCATTTAGTCTCTTGTATCTACTTGAGCTAAGAGGCACAGTCCTCACAAGTATCACTTTATGTCCCACAGTCCAGTCCAATCTTTGTCTGAGGAGTTGGCCTCGGAAATTGTTTTATTTCTGGGCTGATAGAGAATCCAGAGGCCATACTTTCTGGGGTTTCTCCAGTCTCAGTCAGACCATTAAGTCTGGTCTTCTTACTAGAATCTGAGTTCTGCACCGCACCTTTCTGCTGCTCCATCCAGGACTCTCTGTTGTGTTCCCTGTCAGGGCAGTCATTGGTGGTAGCCGGGCACCATCTAGTTCTTCTGGTCTCAGGTTGATGAAGTCTCTGGTTTATGTGGCCCCTTCTGTCTGTTGGGCTACTACTTTCCTTGTGTCTTTGGTGTTTTTCATTCTTCTTTACTCCAGGTGGTTGGGACCAATTGATGCATCTTAGATGACCGCGTGCAAGCTTTTAAGACTCCAGACACCACTCACTAAAGTAGGATGCAGAACATTTTCTTAATAAGCTTTATTATGCCAGTTGACCTAGATGTCATCTGAAAGCATGGTCCCTAGACCCCTACCCCTGCTACTTGGTCCCTCAAAGTGTTTGATTGTATTCAGGGAACTTCTTAGCTTTGGTTTAGTCCAGTTGTGCTGACTTCCCCTGTGCTGTCCTTCCCTTCACCTAAGACAATTCTTACCTACTATCTAGTTAGTAAATAACCCTCACCCTCCCTCCCCACCCTCATAACCATCAAAGAATGTTTTCTTCTATGTTTAAACCTTTTCTTGAGTTCTTATAATAGTGGTCTTATACAGTATTTGTCCTTCTGTAACTGACTAAATTCACT